AACTAAAAAGGACATTATAAAACCACACCCATCAATTAATAATAATATGAATTAATGACTTACTCCGCTACTGAATAGTATCTCTCAGAAATTAACCTTATAAATGACAATTAAATTTGTAGTTTTTGGTTTCTGTTCTTCATTCCTCATTTTTCCATTCCCATTCTTATCAAAATACACTATTACCAATCCGTTATTATAGTGGGGGTACAATAGGGCAGAGTCACTGATCACATGACCTTCAGCTGGAGGGAGTATACACTGTATGGGGTAACTATTGCCGGAGTGGGTGGGGCTTGAGCACATGTCGTCCTGTTTTATATTCAATGGTTTAATTTTTCTCATACTAGTAATACAAACAATGCTAGACTCCTCCCAGTCTCCGCCTACTCCTTTACCAAGCCATGCCCCTCTACTAGGTATGTACCACTCGTCATCTGAAACCGGTTTGACTGGTTTGTCGTGCTCTTCCGGTAGTTTAGAAATCCAGCCCAGTATGAGGCCACACCCCTTGTTAAGATTCATCCTATCAATGTTTCTTATTAGTCTACTGCATCGCTCAGCAAAGGAAAAATGGCTGACAAAAGGTTCAATGTATTTTGCTCCTTTTTATCATCTTGTCAGTCCACCATACCTCCCTCTCTCTAGCTCCTCTTCTTGGCTGATGGGCGGGGCCTGGAACCGCTGGGTGGTGGGACCTTCTTGGTCGACTTTTGACGGAAATTTCTAGAATAATGCAAGGAGAACATGGTGAAATAAATCCCTAAATCAACGGCAATGATGTGGTGGGTTTTAGTGGAGACACAGAGTTTCATTAAATTAGGAGAGACTGAGATCTTATAAAATGAAAACAGGGACAGGGTTTGTAGGAGAGAGGGACCATCTAAACACGGGAAGAATAAATAGGAGGTATTTTAATATTAAATTTATCGTATAATTGTAAATCCTTACCTAGAGTGTTATAGCTAAACATTCTACAGTATTCCAGTGGATGAATGGCAGCAATGATCATAGCATTAGAGACACTGTAGGCCACTGGATAATAATGAAGTTAAGGATCATAATTGTATATTATTAATGATTAATGTACATGTAGTACATGTAGTCATGTACATAGCTCAGGGAGAGAAATAAAAAGAAAAAAAGAAAGGATAGAGAAGAAAGAAGTACATGTGTATAAACATTGGGTTTTTTTTCAGAGTTTAGCCTTGGCCCATAACTTAAAAACTTTAAGTCGGAATCAGCTCAAACTTTCTACACAGCATAAAACATTATGTATCAGAAAATGTAATAAAAATTTGGAGCCAATTTTGGAAAAAACCTAAGACTAAGAAATGTGCATGGGGCATTAATTAGGATACATACAATCCCGTCCTCAGTGAGAGTGAACAGCAGCAGCCAATTAAAAATAATGTCTTTAAACTTCCCAACATATTGTGGAAGAGTATCATCATACTGGAAGGACTCCATGAAGACTGAAGAGAGGGCCATTAGATTGTTGCTGGGATGAGGAGGAGGTGTTTAAAGATCTATCATTAGCTAGGAGAATGATGTCACCTTTATGAGAACCAAGTACTGTTAGTGTATTAAGACTGGAGCCTATTGAGAGGAGAAAGGAGAATAATTAATAACTATTAATAACAAAATATGTATTGATGGGAGGAATTTGAAAAATTCGAAAAAATTCAAATTTAATCGGTATTAGTCTCACCACGCCCCTTCGCTACCTGCGGAGGAAGGGTCTGGGGACACTGCTATCTAAAATGTGTGCTTCATGCCAGAGAAAGTGG